TACAGCTTTGCCAAAAAGCTACATTTAACACTCCAAGTCTGTTCCTGCTCATTTATGGGGGAAGAGGCCGGACAAAGGCAATTTAGATGCAAGCCCGGTAAGGTCGGAGTGACGTGGGAGGCTAATTGTCTGTCAGTCACACCTGGAAACATAATTGGCCATGACGGCTGTGGCCACTGGAAGCCTGGGGTATTCTAAATATATAAACTTCCAAACAAAGGAAGTTTGGCCCTTCCTCTCTCTCCTGGCTCCAGGGCACCAGGCCTTCTTGGGACTCCAGCTGCAGGGGGTGCTCTCCCCTCCACCCACATCGCTCAGGGCCATGTTGGACTCCACACATGGACTAATGGATTTTAATCTTCTCTCAAAGCTAAACCACACCCAGTTGCAACATGGAGCAGAAGCTCTGGACACTGGCCCTGCTTCTGACTCTGCTGAACTCCCAGCTGCCCCTCTTTCAGGACTGGCTTGGGAGAAATGGGACGTTGAGACCAGGGAAATGTAACTTCATGCCAATAAAACCTTCTTCCACATTCCATCCCCCTGTGGGGGCTTCTAAAAGTGCTTCTTTCAGCAGCGCCCCAAGAACCTCACTCCCTCAAATGACAGAAGGGTTTCATCCACGAGCAACAAAGGTTCAAGAGACTCTCTTCATTTAAAAATGTAAAAATAATACTAAAACAGTAGTGACAATAATAATAGTTAACTTATTTATAGCATCAGGTACTCTTTTGCAACTTTGAGGGCTTTAAGAAATCCTTTGATCAGAGTTATATAAGATAATATGAAATTTAACACAAGTAACCAAAATTTCTTATGTTACATCAGCATGTACATTTTTTTTAAAAAGAATAATAATTATTAGTTCTTTGTGGAATTCTCTTTGGAAACAAAAACTATTCTCACATTCACCCCCAATGACTTGGGGAATCTACAAGTGTATCTCATGGATGTGCTACACAGTAGTGTCCTTGGCCACCAGTTAACACGCACATATTTCTGCTTGCTGTGGTTGAATTTCCTGTCATTGCTGATGCCAAAGAAACAAGTCTTCTGTCAAATCTCATGTCTGTAGTAAAAGAGAGAACCCCTATCTCTAATTACAAAAGAAAACTGATGAAATCACAGTAGTTTACAGTATGAACTCTCAAAGTGCTGTAGAAATTTTACTCAAAGACCATCAATTCTTTTCTGCCTTTTTTTTTTTTTTTTTTGCAGTATAAGACTCAAAAAGTAGACCATCTTTAGAACCAACAGCCTCCTCCAACCCTCACCCCCTTGAAACAAACTTATGCCCTTAAAATTAACAAGAAGGAAGGTCATACCAATGTTGTTTGATATATTACTTTTCTAAGAAAGAATTAAGTCAGGATGTTTACTTGCAATCTACTGAGTTTTAAGTCTTGATAGCTAATTTAAATTTAGTGAATAATATTTTTACTATAATGTAGAAAAATATCTGAGATGCTGTGTTTTATAATAAGAAATATATATCTTGGTCTTTTTCCATGGTTCTTGGCATAGAGTTCTTACATCCCTTGTAATTTCTTAGGTGCCAAAAGCCACAGAGGCATCTTTTCTTATAATATTTAATCTTTGCTCCCAGTTGCTGAAATAGCTCCAGAGTGATAAAAGTGAAACGTGTCTCTTGTTATTCATAATAATCCCCTTTTAACCACCCCTGAGGTTACATTAGTTGAGTGGTTTTCTGAAAGTTTCCAGATAACTATAGGATGGGTGTTGGTTGCCAGGGGAACCAGTCAGGTAATTAGAGGGTTAGAACTTTCAACCCCATCACCTGACTTCTGAGGAGGGAAGAGGACCTGGAGATTGAATCAGTCACCATTGGCCAATGATTTAATCAATCATGCCTATGTAATGAAGACGCCATACAAATTCCCTAAAAATGGAGTTTAGAGAGTTCTGGGTTGGTGCACATGAGGAGGAGCTAAGAAGGTGGCACCTAGGTAGTGCATGGAAGCACATACCTTGCTCTTTGCATATCTTCTATCTGGCTGTTTCTGAGTAATATCTTTTGATAACAAACTGGTGATCTAGTAAGTAAACTTTTCCTGAGTTCTGTGAGATGCTTTAGCAAATTAATGAAACCCAAGGAGGGAGTGGTGGGAATCTCTGATTCATAGCGGGTGGGTCTTAATAACCTGGACTTTTGATTGTCATATGAAGTGGAGGAATGGGGCATTCTTGTAATGGAGCTCTAGGTAGGTAGTGTCTGAAATGAATTAAATTGTAGAACACACAGCTGGTGTCACAGGATTACATGGTGTGTGTGTGAGTGGGGGACAAAACAACCACACACACATTTGGTGACCAGAATTCTGTGAATGGAATGTTGTAATGGAGGAAAACAGAGGCTTTTTTTTTTTTTTTTTTTTTTAATACCTTAATTACTATGCATCAGGTGGGAAGAAGAGATTAGATGTCTATAGAGAAGTCTACTGTTAGGCTATGTCAGTTCCAGAATATTATTTAATAGTTGGGAGAAAATCTAGAGGAAAAGTTACATCACATCAAATTCACAACACTATTTAACTGGTATACAAGCTGAATTACCTTTTTCTCATTTTCAGTAAATATTCCTGAATAGAACTATTGTGTGGTCATCTCTGTGGGTACTGATGGGTGCATATTCAGTAGAGATAAGCTTCCATAAAACCTGTGTGGGATAGAATTTCCTCCTATTCCCCCTTTTTACCTTAAAGTAAAGCAAGAAGCTCTACCATGTACAGAAAATAAGAAGCATCCAGGAAATTGTCAACACTTCCTGTGTGGTGTGGCATGAATAATACGGTCTCTGTGTTAGAAGACTGTGGATGGCATAAGGACTTTGGGGAAATGAAAGAGCTGGAAGGGATAATGGTGAAGATAAAGGGTAGCTTGGGAGACCATAGATACCCCATGACCTCCATCTGCCTCACCAGCCACCTCACAGAGATGCACCAAAGAGAATGAGTTCACTTGCTATGCATTTGCAGCTTTAAGACAAATTCACTATTTGATTCTTCAAAAAAATTTAAAAATTTGCTGCCCATAAAGTCCCCTTTTAGGATAAGTTCCAAGCACTACTAGGAAGGGTAGGCAAAACAATTAATAGTACAATATGACTGTTCAAGTCATTATGATCCAGTAGCTATTAATAAAATTTCCCCTTTTGGTTTACTATGACCAGCACATTTGTCCAAAGGTAAGGTAGCTACCCCCGGCCTCTGGAGTCTTGAAGTAACATGAGGGTAATAACAAAGGAAACAAAGGAAACTTTAGGATTTTCATGTAAAGCAGGAGAAAAAAGGTTTTATAATAAACAAATTTCAAAGTGAGCAATTCAGCTTAAAGCTAATCGCAGAGAATATTTTATTGTTCTTGATGTGAGAGTAGCTGTCTGGCATGAAAACTCAACAATGCAGGCCTCCATCAGGTTCCATTCTAGGGTGGAGACACCAAGTTTGCCTAAAATGCAGAACCCCTTGAGGGCTCAATGGCATAGTTCCCATTCCATGAAGTTCAGATTTGAGTATGAGGTGCCAATTTAATAAAATTGCTAATTTAAGTTGGTTAATGATGAATCACAGCCATTGTGTTTACCTAGTTCTTTTAGACGGTCAGTATACATAAACTGATTGAATTTTGTTTTGATTGAATATTTTTCCTCCACAGTTTGAACAGAATTCCATGTGATCACACCTAATTATAATTGATAGCACAAAAACTCCCCATAGGAAAATAAACTGATTAGCAAAAATATAATCAAATTTCAAAAAGTTTTGTACAAAACTCAGATTAATATAGCTGTATTAACTGCACCACACCATTCAAATAACTCAGGCTTTCATGTTTTTAACTCAGGTGGGCCCAGCAAAGTTTTACAGTGAATCAGAAAAGCCAAATCCCCAAAGACTCCCTTCACAGGAAAATTTGTGCTGCATTTCAGTAGCGGATTTCATTTTGTTGTAAAACGCAATGTACAGGGATCTCCTGAATCCGATTTTCCTGATGCACCCTAGCATATGATTTGAACATCTGATTTCATTTGCAATTTAGTCAACAAAAATGATTAACAGACATAAAATGGTAAATGCCATCCCACACAAAGGATGACTTGTGAATGACGTGATTTAAAGTTTATGAGGTTTGCCTACCAAACCAGACATTTGGAAATTACCTGTGGAGATCATTACACTGCACTCTATCTCTTGACATAATTCATTTAAAGATTGTTAGACACATACTTGTATTGTAATTTTATTTTCTTAAAATTAATCCATTTGCCACTTTACCCCACAGTTGGGCAAACTATACCTATTGGCCAAATCTGACATAGTTCCCATTTTTAAAAAAATATATTTTTATTGATTTCAGAGAGAGGAAAGGAGAGGGAGAGAGAGAGATAGAAACATCAATGATGAGAGAGTCATTGATCGAGCCCATAACCCGGGCATGTGCCCTGACCAGGAATCGAACGCCGATAGCCTGGATCCTAGGTCCACGCTCAACCACTGAGCCACGCCCGGCCGGGCATATAGTTCCCATTTGTATAAATAACGTTTTATTGGCACACAGCCATAGTCATTCATTTCTTTGTTTTCTATGGCTACTTTTGTGCTACAACAAAGTATGGCAGAAACTGTTTGATCCGAAAAACCTGTATATATACTATCTTGCTGTTTATAGAAAAAGTTTGTTAATCTCAGTTTTTGTCTTTAGTATTTATAAACAGATTTAACATTTATCATGATGAGCATCATCTACCATTTCTTATTTGCCAGGCACTGTGCTAAGCCCTTCTTGTATTTCTTTTATCTCGATACAGTCCTATGAAGTATTAGTACTTCCATTAAATGTATGAGAAAGGAGAGGCTTTGGAAGTTTAAGGGCCTTGCCCATGTAAACAGCTGAGCCAAGATTCAGCCTCAAGTCTGACACAAAACCCATGCTATTTGATCTATCTCTTCTTTGATAAATGCATGTTCTTTCTCTTCCAGGCAACCTGCATAATTTAAACCTATGAGAAACACAGCCAAAGGATTTAAGGTAAGCCTCTTAGCCAACTGATGTGAAGTTAAGTCTAATACAGAGCAGAGGGGGGGAAATAGCTTTAAGTTTCCTTGGAGTGTAAAGAGTTCAGCCTAAGTACTTAGATTAGTTCTGCCACATTCTGTGATTTTTTTTTTAATTTATCTTTATTGTTGAAAATATTATAGATGTCCCCTATTTTCCCCCCACTGATTGTCTCTACTCCACTACCACCCCACCCCGAAGTCTTCACTGCATTATTGTCTGTGTCCGTGGGTTATGCATACTGTATGTGCATATAAATTGTTTCATTAATCTCTCCCCCCACCTTCCCTCTGAGATTCCTCAGTCTGTTCTATGCTGTTTTACAGCTTTCAAACCACTGTGCATCTGGGAGTCACAGTTTGGTCATTAATTAGTAAGCATCTTTTGGCAAACCATTTATGTGACTTCTCTGAGTTTCTGCCTCTTCATATTTTAAGAAAGAAAGAGCTACAGGGAAGCAGGGTTATCTCTAGAACACTTGTATGCATGTTCCATGCTGTCTTCTCAGCAGGAGCCTCTCTGTAGGGTACACTATATTCCCAGTGCTTGATGCCTGATTTCCCCTAGTGAGTGAGATGATACCAAGACATGAAGGCCCAGGTTATTTAACTGGTGGTAGCACATTTCATTTGACTGCAACCTCTGGGCATTTTGACACCCTGTCTACGTGTTCGGAAAAAAAGAATGTGTTCACTAAAAGCAGACAAGCAAAACAGGGTCAACTGTAGCTTTTGGTAGAGAATTTTTTTTCTGGGTTCCTAACTCTGCTGCAGAATGATCCCAAAAGACTGATCACAGATGACCCACTCATTGTGCTACCTGGCAAGGCTGCCCACCTTGGGCTGTTTATTGTGAAGCAGATATTCCTCACCTGGTCTCCAAGTAATTTCACATATTCCCTGGGGGTTATCAGTAGAATATCTAGACAGGATCTTACTCTTCCGGTCAAAGATTACAGCTTTAACCCAGGCTCTTTATCCCCTAGTAAACTGGCAAAGTAGGTGTCTTGATTGTTTATTTTTTAATTCCATCTTAACCCATGAAGAATTGGAGATAGTTATAAGAATATAGTCAAGCATTTACAGGCTGTTCTATCTGAGGGAGCAACTTGATTCTGTTCTGGCAACTTCCAGAATCTGGATATTTACACACAGAAGGATACATCCCTTGGTATGGAAGGGGAAAAAAGGAGGAAGGTTAAAGACACATGTCATTATAGTTTCATAAAACTGCAGAATTTTGAAAGAAAAATAATCTTGAAAGACATTTAGTTTAACTCCTCAGTTTTATGAATGGATGAATGGAGGACCTCATCCCAAGGTAAGATGTAAGGCATGAGCTCCTGACTCCACCTTCACTCCTATAGCGCACAATACATAGACCTCCCTTGGAAGGAATCAGGTTATCCTGTAGATCTGCTGGTCATCCCAGGATACTCCCTTTAGGGTTTTAACATTGTACATACAAACAAATATTTCTAGCTAACAAAGGGTAAAATAAGATTGTCAATAATAAAATTACTTTGAAGAGTTAAAACCATTATATTACCTGAGGTGATATTATTTGTAATAATCTACTCTTTCCTCCTCCCCAAATAGAATCTTAGTAGTTAAAAAAAAGGAAATGAAATTGTATTATTTTGACATAATCATGAAATTGTTTTTCTCCAGCCATGATGTCAACTTCAACGTATAGTAAAAAATAAAGTAAAATAAAATTTAAAAATCACTTCCTAGTGAAAAACCTAGTAAAAAAACAAAGCTTGTTTATGGGAACTTGTTTCTTTCATCTTTTCATCTTTCTTCACCCCTCCCTCCAACCCCAACCCTTGCTCTTCCTCCCTGTGTCTGGCTCCCTTTGTGTCTTCACCCAAGAAGGAATATTTCTGAAGCATGAAAATGGGAAGACTGAGGTCAAGGGCTTGCTGGAATTGTTGAGTTTCCATGCTTGAGGATTCTTTACAATGGTGGCAAAAGTTCAAATACTAAATGATACATTTAAAGTTACATTGACAGGACTTGGGAGCATTTTTTCACTAAATGAAAAGCATGGGTCTCTTAAGTACCTATTTCCTCATCTGGTTCCATTCCTTAGACTAAGTTCACAGAGTTTCTAGCCAGACTGAGACACCCCACTTGCATGTTCCTTCCACAAATTAAGCCATTAAGGACATTTTTATAGTCATATCCATCATTTACATGTCCTCGTGGTATTGCTTTTGATAGTGGAAAATATTATCAGCATATTATTCTGGGTTCTTTTGCAAAGAGAATTCTCCTTAATAGTGTCCTATTACGTATGCGATGTGAGACCAAGAGACTTGCAAACTTTTTTCCCCTGTTCTCCTTGAGTCATCTTGTCTGGCATTTCACAATACATTCCAAAAGGCAAGAGGGGGAGAGTAACCACAACAGTAGCAGAGACAATTCTTTGAGAGGAAACGCCTTATTTTAGGGAGGGGAAGAGAAAGAAAAAAAGGAGAGGCAGGCAGAGAGAGGGGGAATCAGTGCAGTCAGGGATTAAGACAGTAAGGAATATTAACTTTTTTGTAGGGTTGTTCTGACAATTCAGTAAGTGAAACACAAGAAGGCGTATAAAGAGATTCAAGGAAAAGAAATTACAATAAAAAACTTAGGTCTTGGTCTTGATACTGGTCTGTTTTCTGTCCCTTTATACTGGGATCCTCTTATGGGATAGGCCAAGAAGGTTTAGGACACTTACCAGATTGGTCCACTGACTGTGTGTGTGTGTGTGTGTGTGTGTGAACATCCAAGCTTAAGTTTTAGTAGTTGATATTGTGATAATATTCAGCCTAAGGATCTCCCACTGCTTTTAAGGTCATTATATATAAATGCAGTTCGACTTTTTAAAACAACCTCCAGGATGGGCAGCCACAATTTTTTTGTTAAACTAGGAGATATTAACCTATGTTAACCTTGATTTTAAAGGAAATCAAGGACCCAGCTGGAGTGGCTCAGTGGATTGAACACCATCCTGGATACCGAAAGGTTGCTGATTTGATTCTAGGTCGGGGCATTTACAAAGGCAACCGATCAGTGTTTCTCACATTGATGTTTCGCTCTCTCCCTTCCTCTCTCTCTAAGCATCTCTTCTGGTGAAGATTTTTTAAAAAGGAAAATCAAGGATGGCTTTTTTCTCACCTATCAGCGAAGCTACCATTACTTAAATAGAGAAAGTCTAACCAAAAAGGCATATCATAACTGAAACAAAGATATAGAGTTTGCAAATATATTTAACCTGCTTGTTGAATTTTTTAAATAGTACATAGCTATATGGTAGGATGGGCAGGAAAGATAAAGAATGTATGAGAATCATGGAGCAGATGCATATTCTCGAGCTGTTCCATGCTCCCCAAAAGATGTCCAAGAATTGCACATACTGGTCAAAATATTTTTCAGACTATTATTCTGACATCTTTCTGATCTTATATTTCTACATTTTGAGTTTCACAAAGACAGCATAGTTAGAATTTCACCTACTTTAGATTAGATACACTTTGTACAAAAATAATATTACCTTGCAACGAAGTAGGCAAAAGGCTGGAACCAGCTCCAGGGCAACTGCTTAAATGGTTGCATTGCCTGGAACACTCTTACATAGGGTCAGGAAAGGGGAGCTAACTTCATCCCCTGGCTTCATTGCCTCCCATAGTTGAACATTCTGATTGCATCTGTACTGCACTCAGCTGTGATGAAAGAGTTCAGTCCTCTAAAACTTTCCCAGAAATGTGGGGCCTGAGACCAACAGGAACCAGTAACAATTGAATGCACTCACATGGATGGGGGCCAGAAATGCAGACAATTCTCCCATACTTTCTAGTTTATTCATCTGCTTATATTCCAGAGTGTGGGGCTAAAGAGAGGCTGGTTAATGAAGTTTCAACAGGAGGAATATGTAATGCTCTGTCTTTCTGCTAAAAGAATGTCCAAGCATTTGCGTTGAGTTTTTAAGTCTAACACCCAATCTACGTAGAATTGTGGAGAGGCAGAAATGTATAGTCTGCTAATGACCATTAGGCTGAGTTAATTCTCCCAGCCTTTGAGGGGGGAGGGGGAGAGGGAGGGGGATGAGAAGGGGTAGAATGTTGCAGCCTCAGGGAGCCATTATGTGAGGTTGGGGGCCGGGAACATGGTCCACTCTTTCTAAATCCTGCTTGCTTCTAGGGCAGAGCAGAGTTAAGAGTTTTTAATGGAAACATTGTAATTAATTCGGTAGGAGACAGGAATAGCTTCAGCAGCACCCTACTGGCAGTTGATAGAATGCTCAACTTTGACAGAGTTTATCAGGTTCTTATAACCAAATAGTGTTGGATTACAACCCCCCCCAAAATTCAGTGGCTTAAAATAATAGGCATTTAGTTAGCTTGGGGATCTATAGGTTAGCAATTTAGGTTGGGCTGAACCAGCTCTCCTCCATGCCTCTCATCCTTCAGCAGGCTGGCCCAAGCACATCGGTAGGGTGGGGCACAAGCTCGAGAGAGAAAAAGTAAAAACAAATACACGCCTGTTATTCTCTTCTAGTATCATGCTTGCTAACATCCCGTTAGCCAAAGGCAGTCGCACAGCCAAGGCACGGCCAAGGGCATAAAGTGGATGAAAATTTGGGGCCATCAGTGCAGCCTTCCATTCGAGGCAGACACCTTTAGGCGGTTGGTGGGCCCTCAGCTTACCCAGAGTTACAAGATGCTGACATGAGGACAGCAATGAGAGATGGAGAGTTTAGAAGGGAAGGAAATGCTTTTAGTAGAATCACAAGAGCCCTTGGCCATGTCGGAGCAAACCATGAAGGTCAGTGTGAAATCACCTGGTATTTGACTGGCAGGGCACCAGCACTCCGCGGTCTATTTAGGGAAGAAAAGACATATGTTTTCTTTGCACTTTATATATATGTATATGTATATATGTATATAAACATGTTAGGCTATTATTATTTATCATTCAGTTAACCCTTTT